ATATCTTCGACTAATACATGGATTGCAACACTTTTGTATATGGTTATGGTCCTTCCTGCAACCAACGGCGCCTTGTAGACCAGCACACTCACAACAACATAGACTATGACACCCCTGGTGTGATTTTACACCAACGTGGAATGATGTAAAAACACAAAAACAAACACAGAATACGACACCACTGTTGTCCAATAACACTTGTGTGCAATATGTAAATAGAAAATTGATATAGAATGTTACTTATTAATTGAAATAACTTTATTTTAAATAAAAATTATTCAAATATTATGTGCATGCCCTTTCTAATGGTGTTTTATTTTGTTGGTCTATATCTTCACTTTTGCTGTAACAATGTAAATGTCCCCTCTGTGGAACAAATAAAGGTATTCTGATTTTGATTCTGATCGTCTCCAGATATTGCCTTATAATGACTTAGATGTTTGAGCATATTCTTGACTTCCCTAAGCAAATATGCATCTGGACACACTCGGGTGTTTTTATCTACCGTGTTGAGCTGGGGCAGTTTGCAGTGTGTGGGTAAAAGATAAACTGCTGCCTCCACAGACCATGACAGAAAAATCTGCGACTCCCGTAAAAAAAATATTATTTAAATGATGGTGACTCACAATCAGTCAAGCTTTGGGCAGTCACTCTTTCATTTTCACGTGTTCATTTTGATAAGCAATGGTGGCTGCCCACAAATGATTTCAATCCAACAAAGCAGTAAGAGGAGGAACTGCAACCAAATCAAATCAAGTTTTATTTATATATCACATTTATAAACGATTTTTGGTCGAGCCAAAGTGCTGTACATATAATAAAAATAGCCTACAGTAAAGACACTTTACAGCTAATACAACAGCACAGTTTGTTCAGAATATCAGTATGAGAAAAAACGACACCCTCTATCCTTAGACCCTCACATCGTACAAGGAAAAACTTCCGGAGAAAAACCCACAGTTTAGAGGTAAAAAATGGGAGAAACCTCAGGGAGAGCAACAGAGGAGGGATCCCTCTCCCAGGACGGACAGACGTGCAATAGATGCCTTGTGTAAATCAAAGAGATAATACATTTTACAGCATAGGTAGTCCAAATGTTAGGAAATGCATGTGTCTGTAATAAGAAGATGAATCTACGAAGATGTCAACTACAATCCTGTGGGAGCCTTCAGGGAGGCAGCATGACGAGACACAGGCAGGACCGCAGAGACAGGTTCAGCCACGACCCGAAGTCCACGACTGAATCCAGAACTCAGGATAGAGGATCTAGGACACAGGACCACAGCAAGAAGATCAGCCTCGACTCCGGATCCCGACGTAGATATAGACACAAAACAAGAAAAAATGTGGCTGGGTTAATCGGAACAAGAGAATACACAGACACAGACAGACAGACAGACGGAAGAACAAGCACTCCCTTAGAATAGGTTGAGGGCAAAGGGTAGCAAGTAAGAGAGTAAGAAACATAGGTGGAGAGGCACACTCAGGGAACAAGGTCCCCACTGGAGCCTTAGTTGGAAATTGATGAGAGATAGGGAGGTACGCTTTGTCTATGAATCGTAACACGCCCCGGCCTGTCTAAGCCACTCTACAAACCGTTTCCCTCTAATAAAACCTTGAGAGGTTAGAGAGGGAAAAGGTCTTGGATAAAAGTTATTCTTGATAAGAGAAGCCTAGAAGGCCAGAGAGAAAAAGTGAGTTTTAAGTGTTGATTTAAAAAACCCCAGGGTCTGGGCCGACCTCACATGGAGGGGCAAAATGTTCCAGAGCCTGGGGCCCGCTGCTGCGAATGCTCGGTACCCTCGGGTTTTGAGCCTGGTCTTGGGCACTATCAGCAGCAGCTGATCAGCCGACCTTAAGGCTCTGCCTGGGGTGTAGCGATGGAGGAGTTCGGCTATATAGGCCGGAGCCAGCCCATTTAGGGCTTTGAAAACAAATAAAAGGATTTTAAAATCTATTCTGAACCGAACTGGAAGCCAGTGCAATGAGGCCAGAATTGGGGTGAAGTGGTCATGCTTTTTATGGCCAGTTAGAAGACGTGCAGCTGCGTTCTGCACTAGCTGCAGGCGTCTAATTGAGGCCTGGTCCATACCCACATACAGAGCATTGCAGTAATCCAGTCTCGAGGTAACAAAGGCGTTAATAACCCTTTCTAGGTCTTTAAAAGATCAAAACGACTTGGTCTTAGCCAATAGTCGTATTTTAAAAAAGCAGGTCTTGACTACGGTGCTGACCTGCTTATCAAATTTAAAAGCGCTATTGAAGGTCACTCCAAGGTTCATGACAGAGGGGAGGATGTTTTTATTGAGGGAGCCCAGAATATCAACCGGAGAGGCTGGAGGTCGGGGTCCAAAAAAGATGACCTCGGTCTTGCTCTCGTTGAGGGTGAGGAAGTTTTGGCTCAGCCAGGATTTCATCTCTGTTAAGCAGTCCATCAACTGCTGTAGTGAGTTGGCATTTTGATTGAGAGGCAGATAGATCTGTACATCGTCATCGTAACAATGGAAGGGGATGTTGTGTTTTGTGAGAATTGAGCCTAGGGGCAGTATGTACAGTGGAAAAAGGATGGGGCCCAGAATCGAGCCTTGGGGAACCCCACAGGTAAGAGGGGCTTTGGCAGAGGAGAAGGCACCTAGCTGCACAGAGAAGCTACGGTCTGTCAGGTAGGACCTGAACCATGGCACGCAGAGCCTGTGATGCCTGCGGACTGTTCAAGCCGTGACAACAGGATGCTATGGTCCACAGTGTCAAAGGCAGCTGTCAGGTCTAACAGCACCAAGACTGCTGGGCTGCCTGAGTCGGCGGCTAGGAGCAGATCATTAAAAACTCTTAAAAGGGCTGTTTCAGTACTGTGCATGTTTAAAGCCAGACTGAAACTTGTCATGGATGCCATGCGTGGTTAAAAACGACTGCAGCTGGACATAGACTACTTGCTCCAGGGCTTTAGATAAAAAAGGTAGCTGGGAGATGTGCCTAACATTGGCGAGAATGGAAGGGTCGAGATTTTTCTTTTTAAGTAGTGGCTTGACCATGGCATGTTTGAAGGCAGCTGGGACACATCCTGAGCTAAGAGAGGTGTTTACAAGCAATAAAACACTTGCTCCAACTGATTCAAAAACATCTCTAAGGAAGCGAGAGGGAATGCTGTCTGAGGTGCAGTTTGTCGGCCGCAGGTGCTTGACTACATCCGAGAGAGAAGAGAGGGATACAGGCTCAAAGTGGTCGAGGACAGCAGGGCACAGAAAAGGAGCAGAATCTGGGGTAGCACTAGTGTGAGCTAGCCTAAGAGCAGATACTTTTTCAATAAAAAATGTATCGCAGAGGGTAGTCGATGGCAGAATTGGAGAAGCATCACAAGGATTAATGATCGAGTTGAGGACATTAAAAGACATTGAGTCCAATGAGCGATAAATGGTAGAAACAAGACATTTGAAGAAATCACCTTTAACTAAGAGTATTTTCACTCTTCTGGTCTTTCTATGGACCAAATATCCCAAAAATAATAGCATATAAATCAACAATTGAAATAAATGTTAGTTGTAGCCCAGATTTCTTTTTGCCTGCTGCACTGACAGATTTCCTGATTTAATAAACCAGTGGGAATGAACAGCATTACTCAACTAGGCAGCCAAAAAGAAAGCCCCTGCACATCCTCTTTTAGTAACTTCAGTCAGCATGGGCAAGGCATAGCGTGCAACCACAGAAATATGCAAATAAATCAACCCACCTCCTTATTTCTTGTAAGAGGCAGTGCTTATTTTCGTCTGTTGTCACTCAAATACAAAAAATAGCAACTGGGCAAGCGAGTCGCTATATAGTGCTGAAATGAGCAGCTGTTTAGGAGGCAACATGTCAGTACTGGAGAGGAAAATATGACAAATGAAGAGACCACTCCAAAGTTTTCTTAAATCTCTACATGTATGTCAACCATTCCATTTCAGTGTCTGTTGAATTCCAACACAGAGAAATGTTGTCAGTAGTTTGTAGAATTAAAATAAAATGTTTTACTTAAACAAATACCTAGAAATAGTAAAACCAGAGAAACGGATAATGCTGCAGTGGTATCTTAATTTTTTTCAGAGCTGTATCTTAAAGCCGATATCACTTAATTGTTTGTACCATAGTGCATAAATGTTGCTAACATTTGATCTTATATTCATTTTTATGTTAGTTTCATTTATTCTTTCATAACCATTTATGATTTATTTTAATTTAGAATAAGCCCCACACACATTTCCAACCACTGTAAATATTTTTGATAACTTAAATGTGTATTAAACCCAGTGATGTAAAGTAACTAAGTACATTTACTTAAGTACTGCACTTAAGTACAATTTGTAGATACTTGTACTTTACTTGAGTATTTAAATGTTTTGCTACTTTGTACTTCTACCCCAGTACAATTAAGAGGTGAATAATGTACTTTTACTCCATTACATGTATTTAATACTTTTAGTTACTTCACAGATGTGGATGAATGATGTGAAATCTAATCAACTCTTAAATCAGACTTTAGTTCCACCTGGAGTAAATCCACAAGCTACCCTGCAGTATACAAAGTCATTCAAACTAGCTGCACCTTTACCAGCCTTGATAACAGTTTAATGATCAATCATTATGAAACATATCATGTAAATTATTCTGAAATGGACCAATCTGCATAATGACTACTTTTACTTTTGATAGTTTTAGTATATTTTGATGCAAATACTTTTACAACATAGTATCATGTCTAATGACGGATTTTACTTGTAACAGAGTATTCCAACACTCTGGTACTTCTACTTAAGTAAAATATATAAGTAATTCTTCCACCTCTGATTAAATTGTACCTGAACTTTTCTTTTTGCAATTTCTCAAAAAACACTGTACAAATGAAGAATAGGAAAATCTACTCAACTAAGAAAAGGTTGAGTTTAACAGTCATCATTGTAAACCACCAGAGGGCCCCAGAGTAGTTCCACAAAAATACTACTAGTGACAACAAACTCACAGCACACTTTTCCCTATAAGAAGTATTTTATTTTCACATTATAGTAACATTTTTCAAAATAACAAAATGATATAAATATACAATAAAGAAAACAATGTATATACAGGCAACACTGACTGTGGGTGTAACAGTAACTCTCTGCCTCCATTAGAAGTGTAAACAAAAGGAGGATACTGGGTTGTGAATTGTACCGTACCATCAGAGGAGACTTCATGATTTATTAACCCCCCAGGGTTGATGTTAAAACAGTGATGAACACATAAACAGGAGAAGAGACAACCTGCTAAAGTCTATTGTAAAAAAACAAACTAGAAAACTGTAAAAGTGCTTTTGTTGATCATGTATATTCAGAGTAAGACGTTTTAGATTAGGTTAAGACTTACACAACAGCAAGTGAAGCATTCTTTCCACGCTGGGACGGACTTCAAGGACATATCGTCCAGATTCTTTGGGTAAATATGCAAATAGGTGTGATGGGTATTCCAATAAATTCAGAGTTGTGTATTCAACTGAACCAACACTCAGCTTTGTTTCATAAAATCATTTAACATCAGGTCTAACTTCATCCAACCTGAGGCAAACCTTAATTTAAAATGTATACTGTTGCTAGAATTATTCTTCTATAAAAGAAAGATATAGCTCAACAGGAAGCCGTTCATGTAAACACAACATCTTACGTTAAGTGTCAAAGTGTATTAATACCTAAACGGAAAACAAGCGGCTTGTTTCACTGGTTGAGATCTATTTGAGGGGAACAACAAAAGAATGGACAAACGTTGATATGACATGCATAAATCAGGGAGGAAATTATCTTAGAAAACAGGAAGGTCTTAAAACTGCTCTAACTTGACCTGGAAGGGATATAAATAGTGCAATATAAACTGGGCCTGTTAAACGCATTAGCCGACTCATGTTATTGTTAACTTATAAAGTATAACTGGGATAAATGTGATCAAGATAAGCCTTATCTTTTAGTTATATGTACAAAACTAACTCAATGTTTAATTGAAAGAATAAGCATGTTGGGCTATCACATTGTTGAGATTCCACATAAAAGTGACTTAAATTAAATAGGAATTTTGCTTGATTTTGGATATTTTGAGTAATTTAGCTAATGAATAGGTATTCTTCTGATTGAGCGATAATCCATTTGTGCATGCAACTGAACTTTTTGTTAATTCCTACCTACAGAGAACATCACATTTTTGGCTAAAAAGACAGCTTTTCTTGTTATACCAGTCTTGGGTGAGCATTTTTGTAAATGTGTCTAAAAGTTGTGAATTTAAACACAAGTAAGATTTGTCATGTACTGTGTAATATGTACTGCCAGTACAGTATAGCTTTTAAGACTTTTTAGACAAATCAGAACACTTTTCTTTTTTTTCTCAATCATACTAAATGGTTTTTGGGCACCAATGGATTGTGGTTAAATTTGCTAATAGCTTTATGGTCTATTATCAAAAGAATCCATGTACTCCAGTTGCATCTTTAACCCAATAAGACACCAGCATATTGTTTTAAGAACAGGGATTGTTTGTTAGTTCCAATTATAAAATGCTAATTAATGTTTAAGATGCATAAGCATGTTTAAAGATTCATTAGCACTGTGTAACATCTTATGTGGAAAATTCAACTAGTGACACACCTTTCTTGGTTGCGGAAAAACAGGAGGAGGACATATAAATTGTCTTCTGTCATACAATTGTCTCTTTCAGATTTGCATGTAGGTAAAAGAGGTATGGGTCAGGGGCAGAATGTAATAAAACCTCATTTGTTATTTCTACAGGTACAACAATTACATTTGGCTCGGGGGATTCTGTGTCACTTTTGGACTCTGTGTCATCTGAAAGTGTCTCTGGATTAGAAGGCTGTTGGTTTGCTAGAGTTTCTATATCAGCCTGCTCCATCTCCTCTGCAAGGTCCAATTTGCTACCATAGAGCACCCCCATCCTTCGTGCGAGCATTCCCTCTTTCTCTGGAGGATCGTCACCTTCGTCCTTTTGACCCTTCCTCTTACATCGCTGCATAAAAGCGGCATGGCGCGTGCAGCGTTTCAGCAGGTGTTTGCGGTAAGCCCTCTGAACGACCATAGCGGCCATCTCCTCTTCTTTGTGGCGCACCGTTGTGGTAATTGGCGCAAAGGAGTCTGAGGTTGGGTTGCTGAGGACGAACTTGGCCTCAATGCTTTCCCGCATCGCCGCCATCTCCAGCGTGTCTCCTAAGACCATCTGTGTGACGGCCATCAGGACATCCAGGCAGTGGATCCTGTCCCCGATGACCAGGGGCAGATCCATTGCCATTAAGGGAATTCGGTTGGGCTTGGCAACCTTCAGTGGCGGCTGCAAGGTATCACAGAAATCTGAGAGCTGGCTATACTCAATGAACTGAGTTCCGTCCAAGTCAAACTTTTCCCAAGTTTCATTGAACATCTCAAAATCGTCCTCACAGAGCGCATCTCCGCTCTCCTCCTGTGCCACGTTGAAGTTCTCCAAGATGATGGCGATGTACATGTTTACTACCACTAAGAATGAGACGATGATGTAGCTGCAGAAGAATGCCATGCTCATGAGCGGATTGCCGCAGTTGCCCTTTACATCCGTGCCTGGGTTCTCAAAATTTGGATCGCAATCTGGGAACTCCTTATCCAGCATTGGAAGTAAAAGTCCATCCCAGCCGGCAGAGGTCGTGATCTCAAACAAGCAGATAATACTGCCACCAAACGTCTCAAAATTAAATATATCGTCGATTCCAGCTTCCTTTTTGACATAGGCAAAGTTTGACATGCCAAATATGGAGAAGATGAACATAATGAGGAAGAGCAAGAGGCCAATGTTGAATAGGGCGGGAAGTGACATCATTAGGGCAAAGAGAAGCGTCCGAATGCCCTTGGCTCCTTTGATAAGACGCAGAATCCTGCCTATTCTGGCCAGTCTGATGACTCTGAACAGAGTTGGTGACACAAAATACTTCTCAATGATGTCGGAGAGCATTGTACCTGAAATAAAAAGAGACAATAATGAACACCTATTGTCTGTTTGAACACAGTAGCAATTTTTGGTCTCTAAGAAGTTCAATTCACCTACCGGCTATTGACAAGATGACCACAACAAAGTCAAAAACGTTCCATCCGTTTGTGAAGAAGTATTGTCGCAGGGCAATGAGCTTCAACGAACACTCTCCGGTGAACACAACAATGAAAGCCACGTTTACTTTAAAAAGGAAATCTTCCTTCTCTGCACTTTGATTGTCCGTCTCCACCATCATCGTCACCATGTTGAGGCAGATGAGCACCATGATGAAGATGTCAAAGAATTGCTGGCTAATGAAGTCAAACACCAATCCCTGGATTGGGTTCTGCAGGTGAAAGGGAAGGCAAGGAACAGAAACACAAATCCAACAGGGTCAGTTGGCCTGTTCACACCAGCAATGTACAGGGTAAGGGGTCAACACATAGGTCACAGGTCAAGATGGCATACCACACATGCTGATCTGATGTGTCACAACGTTGGTATTGTTTAAACACTGAACAAAAATATAAATGCAACCCTTTTATTTTCGCCCCAATTTTGTTTAAATAAAAATAAAATAAGACTTCTTCTATGCAAAAAAAAGGCTTATTTCTCTCAAAATCGTGTGCAAAAATGATACAGGTGTCCCCAAATCAGAATTTATAAAGCATTCGTAAAGAATGGATTCGGCCATTATAAGAGCTATATTATATGCTTGTTTGGCAACACTGCAAACATCCACGAAAAGAAGACTCCAAAGTGGCAGGCTTCGTCGAAGATAAGCCTTTTTACAACTAGATTCTGTAATGCTGAAAAACTGCAGTTGGTTCAAGACCCAGCAGAGGACAACAAGCTTCCAGGTTTCTAAAAGTCTGTGCAGCTCCTTCAGCGACAGGCTGCTGCACCCCCGCTGTCTCACGGAGAGATACCGCAGGTCCTTCCTTCCTGCAGCGGTCAGACTATACAACCAGCACAGCCCCTAGTAGAACCAACCAAATTGTTAATATTGCTATCAGTTATTAATGAATGACATACCGTTGGACGTGGAATTGGCTTCTGCGGTTTCTTGGAACCAAGTTTCTTCATGGCCTCATAGTACTTTTTTTGCTCCTCAGTCAGAAAGATGTCTTTATCTCCAAAGTGCAGACATAAATTCAAACATCATTATTGGTGTTTAAATAGCTAAGTATAAATTGAAATACAAAGAAATCACAATTTAATTGTTACAGACTACTACTTCCAAAGACTTGTGATACTTATCTTTTTCTTTTGTTGGTTGAAATTGTCAATAATGACACCAATAAAGAGGTTGAGTGTGAAGAAAGAGCCAAAGATGATGAAGATGACAAAGTAAATGTACATGTAGAGGTTGATCTCATAAGAAGGCTGCTCCTCTACCTAAAAAGGAAGAACATATTTGAATGAATATAAATAATTCAATACAAAGTTGTCCTTTCCCTGTTACTAAATAATTAAGTAGATGCTTGTGAGAGATGCTCGAGAGTGGGGAAGATACAGGATAAAAGGTTAAACAGGAATATGAAACTGGTCAGGAAGGGCACTTGTTGATCCAAGACTGCACCATCAGCATCTGTCACTTACTGTATATATTACATATATATTAAATTATCTCAAAGTGCAGGGGTGTTGGAAAGGGAAGGCGAGTTTTTGAACTCTTGACTTCGATTTGTTAATGTTGCTAATTTCCATAAATCTAAAAAAAAGGTACTGAGTATACGTTTTGCAAAGTTTTATGGGATATATAATATGTAAACTAAATAATTGTGTAATTTACCAAAAGCAAACATAAACATATAGCACATGGAATAAATTAAGGGTCTTCTGCACATTATATATTTGATTTTATTATCATCACAATGTCAACTTTCTATATTGTATTCGGGGATATTTTGGTATCAGAAGAAAGCTGATCTTCAAAATGAAACAATCAGTATAATAAAAATGGTTAGTTGTATTGTACAAACATTATCACATATTTTCCTCATATCGTGCTTTTAACTTAATCATATAAGTGTAGTCAGTACTGATACATGTGAGTAAAGATTAAAGGTCTCCCAACATATTTAATGGTCAATATAATAATATAAATAATAACTACCTCTCTTGAGTCAACAGCAGCATACATGATGTCCATCCAGCCTTTAAAAGTTGACTGAAAAAAAAGGAGCAGTGTTTCAAAACGTGTTATTCAAAAGCTTTTACAACAATGTTAATTCCAACTCTATAATAACGGAAACATCACTCCTCACCACTTGAAGCAGTGACAGGTAGCCTTGTCCCACATTGTCATAGTTGACCTTGACATTGACCCAGCGGGCCTCCTGCGTTGCCTCTTGGAGGAGCAAGCAGTCGCTATGGTTATTGACCTCCCACATGGGGAAAAGTTCAGACGTGGTGGTATTAATGCAGCGGTAAAACTTCCCAGCAAACAGGTTAACTCCCATGATGCTGAATATGAGCCAGAAGATCAGACACACCAGCAGCACGTTGAAGATGGAGGGAATAGCACCAACGAGAGCGTTCACCACCACCTGCCCAAGAGAAGACTTTGTTAGAATAACGGGATTATAAAGAAATGTACACAAATATTGATTTAGTTTGTTAGAGTGAGAAACAAGCTCGTTATTGTCAGAAAGTTATATACACTGAACAAAAATATAAACGCAACACTTTTGTTTTTGCTCCCATTTTTCATGAGATGAACTCAAAGATCTAAAACATTTTCTATATACACAAAATAACCATTTCTCTCAAATATTGTTCACAAATCTGAAAAAATCTGTGATAGTGAGCACTTCTCCTTTGCCGAGATAATCCATCCCACCTCACAGGTGTGGCATATCAAGATGCTGATTAGACAGCATGATTATTGCACAGGTGTGCCTTAGGCTGGCCACAATAAAAGGCCACTCTGAAACGTGCAGTTTTGCTTTATTGGGGGGGGTCTGGGGGGGTCCGAAAACCAGTCAGTATCTGGTGTGACCACCATTTGCCTCACGCAGTGCAAAACATCTCCTTCGCATAGAGTTGATCAGGTTGTTGATTGTGGCCTGTGGAATGTTGGTCCACTCCTCTTCAATGGCTGTGCCAAGTTGCTGGATATTGGCAGGAACTGGAACACGCTGTCGTATACGCCGATCCAGAGCATCTCAAACATGCTCAATGGGTGACATGTCCGGTGAGTATGCTGGCCATGCAAGAACTGGGATGTTTTCAGCCTCCAGGAGTTGTGTACAGATCCTTGCAACATGGGGCCGTGCATTATCATGCTGCATCATGAGGTGATGGTCGTGGATGAATGGCACAACAATGGGCCTCAGGATCTCGTCACGGTATCTCTGTGCATTCACAATGCCATCAATAAAATGCACCTGTGTTTGTCGTCCGTAACATACGCCTGCCCATACCATAACCCCACCACCACCATGGGCCACTCGATTCACAACATTGACATCAGAAAACCGCTCACCCACACGACGCCACATACGCTGTCTGCCATCTGCCCTGAACAGTGAAAACCGGGATTCATCCGTGAAGAGAACACCTCTCCAAGGTGCCAGACGCCATCGAATGTGAGCATTTGCCCACTCAAGTCGGTTACTACGACGAACCGGAGTCAGGTCGAGACCCCGATGAGGACGATGAGCATGCAGATGAGCTTCCCTGAGACGGTTTCTGACAGTTTGTGCAGAAATTCTTTGCTAATGCAAACCGATTGTTGCAGCAGCTGTCCGAGTGGCTGGTCTCAGACGATCTTGGAGGTGAACATGCTGGATGTGGAGGTCCTGGGCTGGTGTGGTTACACGTGGTCTGCGGTTTGAGGCCGGTTGGTTGTACTGCCAAATTCTCTGAAACGCCTTTGGAGACGGCTTATGGTAGAGAAATGAACATTCAATTCACGGGCAACAGATCTGGTGGACATTCCTGCTCGCAGCATGCCAATTGCACGCTCCCTCAAAACTTGCGACATCTGTGGCATTGTGCTGTGTGATAAAACTGAACATTTTTAGAGTGGCCTTTTATTGTGGCCAGCCTAAGGCACATCTGTGCAATAATCATGCTGTCTAATCAGCATCTTGATATGCCACACCTGTGAGGTGGGATGGATTATCTCGGCAAAGGAGAAGTGCTCACTATCACAGATTTTTTCAGATTTGTGAACAATATTTGAGAGAAATGGTTATTTTGTGTATAGAAAATGTTTTAGATCTTTGCATTCATCTCATGAAAAATGGGAGCAAAAACAAAAGTGTTGCATTTATATGTTTGTTCAGTGTATGTACCCTTACCTCAGTTAGTTCTGGTACAGCATCCACAGTGTAAGCATGCATTTAACACACATTGTAGAGGAAAGCCAATCCAATTAGTATGGTATGCAAAACAATGCAAAAATACTCTATTACAAGTAAATGTCATTTTGAAATCCCACTTAAGTAAGAGCACCAGCGGAAACATTTACTGGCAAATTAATCAACGTTAATTGCACTCATATTTTTGAGGTAGGTAGCAGATTAAACAATGATGCAACTGTGGGATAAATATATGCAAACAACCTAAAATAGCCTGTTTACAAATGTTAAGTCAAATTAAAATATCAAAAGAACTCCAATTTTCTATTCGAGCACAACATATTTAAATCCAAAAACTTTAGATGACCCCTGTCAATGATGTCTATTTATTTTAAATAGACTTTCTGGTTAGTCATACACATCCCTCGAATATGGTTGCACAGCCACAAAACGTACCCTCATGCCTTCAAATCTTGACAGCGCTCGAAGAGGCCTTAGGGCCCTGAGAGTCCGGAGGGATTTGATTGGTCCAAGGTCAGAGAATCCCATAAAGCTGGCAGCTAAACTAATCAGGGAAATCTGTGGCAGAATCAAAACATTTCCTATTCAAGGGTTACCACAGACACTGATATGAAACATGTGTGAACACATGTTCTGTTAAGTACATACAGATAGGTTAAAAAGGGAAAAAAAAGGGTGCCAAAACTTACATCTACAATGAAAAAGTCTAACCAACACCAGGCGTTGGTGAAGTAGGTCTTAAAGCCGTACGCGACCCATTTAAGGAGCATCTCGATGATAAAGACGTAGGTGAAAATTTTGTCAGCATACTCCAGAATAATTTTGATGGTGCGGCGTCTTTCTATGTATATGTCTTCAAATGCCTGCCGAAAGACAATAAGAGATACCTAAATACGTGTTCTAATGCTAATACAGTATCTTAACACTATGATAAAAACATTTTTAAAGGCACTTACCAAAGCCCCGCTGCTCAAGAGGATCATGAAGATTATAAAGGTTTCAAACCAGTCATGCTCCACAATAGTAAAGCAAGCCCTCCTGAGGTTCCACCATTTTTTGCCTCTACCCTGGGTTATGTCCACAGTCAGACATGGCCAGCGCTTAATACAGCCTGAATGGAGAGGAGCAAAACAGGTTAATTGAAGATCATTTGAAAATGTGTGCATAAATTACTCTGTTTTACGATGATTTATCATACTGTCAGTGAAGCAGGCTTCCGGCTCGACGGGGTCTGGTTCTTCCTCTTCCACTTCTTCTGGCTCAGGCTCAGGTGGTTGATAGTCCACTGTGCTACACACTGAGGAATCCCCATCATTCAAAGCACCCATCAGCTAGTCAAGAATTACAATTAAAGCTCAGTTACAAAGCCACCATGTAGATAAACATTATTGACTCCCCCCACACACATTTATTTTCAGCCCATAGAAAGTTTTGATTTGTTCATGTGAGACTTTTCAGAGTTACTCACTTTGATATTTCCCAGTAAACAATGAACATCTTTATATTTTTCCTGAAATAGCACAAGAGCAGAGAATTCACTTTAGTAAAAGTCAAACACAGAAGTTTCCAATGTGTATTTTTACATTTGTTTTGCTTTGTGTGTATACCTATCTGATTTGTATGCAACTTATGTCGTCTGTTTATACCTTATTTGTTCAACTTGGACTGAGCAGAGGTGCTTGTTCTGATAACAACATATAACATTATTTAATTAAATGTACAAAATAGAGGCTACTGAGATTGCCTGACTGAGATTTTATATTAAGTACATCATCACGCTGCTAGATTTAAAATTTCTCATAGCATCAATTGTTATTTGCTACCTGCATCACAAACTTGGCACCGTGTCGTTTCCCAAGTGCTTATATATTGTGTTAAGCGGAAATGTAATTTGACCATGCCTAATTACAGTGTTAGAGGCTTAGAAAAAGAAGAAGAGTAGAATGAACATTGCAATGGGCTAACTTATGTATATATACATTTACTTGCAGCTAATTGTGTACTCACTGAGGCTTTTGCTTTGACAACTAAAACAAGCAGTGGAATAGTACAACCCAGTCTCACGGCATTTCGTGTGAAAGTCACGACATTTAATCTATTGATTCATGTTCACCAACACGATTTTCCCTTTTTTTTTCGTGTCACACAGAACGATTTTAAAAGCAATGTATTTCTATTGGTAGTATGTTTCGTGCCTGCACCACGTCTTTTTGTCCGGTCGGGTCTTGGAAGACCGGAAGCGGTGTGGTTCATAAAAGCATTTTCTTAATCAATATTAAGCAACGATTATTGGTTTTATTTTAAATCGTATAATGTCTGACTTTTTTTGTCTGTGATTAGATGTTTTAGCCGCAATGCACGCTGGAATATGGTGTTTATGCGATATGAAATCCGGAAAAAAAATAATTATAGTTTATTCCGAGTGTGCTTGCTTTTCTCTTTGAAAGTCATCACATAAAGGCATTGTAATACACGGTTCGGCTGCATTACCCGTTCGAGTCCAGTTTTGGATAGTCTGCCGTGGTTTCATTCCATTTCATAGAGCTGTTTGACGCTCGGCGTAACCTTGGCACACTGCCACTCCAACATCCAATCATAGAGCTTGAAGATTAATCACGGAGTTTATCAAGCAAAGGGACTGTAGTCCCAAACGATAGCTGAGGATTATGGGTAGTGTAGTGTCTTCGGCCATCCTAAACTCAGAAAAAAACGATTTGTTTCTCCGAATCAAAAGGGGGAAAACACAAAAGCATTGTACACAATTTAAACCAATCAATGTTGTGTAATTAACAAGGATAAACTAATGTTTTTAGTTGATGAGTACTGCAGATTACTATGCAAACTTCGAGACCGGAAATACTGTTCTCACCCCAAGCTGTTGCCTGGCAACGCAATTCTGTTGATAGTTATTTCATATCGCATTAACACCATATCCCAACGTGCATTGCGGCTAAAACATCCAATCACCGAGCCTCAACCATAGCTGAGGATCTTGGGTAATCAGTTCAGTGGCTGTGTATCGCCTACGTCTGTTTCCAGTGACTTTATTTTGAAATTCAGTTCCTGACGGACGGCAAAAAAGCCCGATATTATAGGATCAAACAAATAAATAAATAAAAAGAAGGATAATTGTGTGTTATTGTTGAGTAAATAACAGTGTGTTATTTAGAAAAGAATAACAAATTAGAAGGAAAAAAAGATTTAAAAAATACATATTACAGTATTCTGAGCCCCATTTCTTTTCCTCACGGACGGCAAAAAAAGTCAGACATTATACGATTTAAAATAAAACCAATAATCGTGGCTTGATATTGAGTAAGAAAATGTTTTGAACCACACAGCTTCCGGTCTTCCAAGACCCGACCGGACAAAAAGACGTGATGCAGGCACGAAACATACTACCAATAGAAATACATTGCGTTCTGTGTGACACGAAAAAAAAGGGGAAAATTGTGTTGGTGAACACGAATCAATAGATTAAATATCGTGACTATAACACGAAATGCCTGAGACTGGAGTGGGTTGAATAGTAGTGTAAGCATACAGAGCCAGAGTAAATTCGTAAAATGTTACGACTTAGAGGTTGATCCACAAATGGTCAATACAAAGAAGGAAACAATGCTAGAGCCAGATGCGTAACAGCTTTCTTTGGCTCCTTTTCTGTAACCATTGAGGCACTAAAGCATGGTGGAATTAGCAAGATAGCTAGTTATGTTAGCTAGCTAAATTAGCAAAATAGCTAGCTGTGCAAGCTAGTTGCATCAAACTTTAAATGCTACACTTGTTAAAGAAAACGAGGCGAATAGCAGACGGCTGCAGCTCTGGGTCTCACAGTGCGTCCACCCCACGTCCCGCCACTCCAAAGAAGGACTAGCTTAATAGCAAGACATCCATTTTTGTCGAGCAGCAAACACATTTTAAGCCAAACTGTTTTCACCATAACTAACAGCAACAACCAACCATTCTAGTCAAATGACCAGTGAAAACAGTACAGTCTGTTCTACTACTGTAATTCTATGTCAATTGAATGTCAATCAGGGCGGTGTAATCAGATGTTGAAAACATCTCAAAAGACCCCACACACCTGTAGTGCTTTGAAAGGCAAACATATCAAATGGCAGGAAATTTACAAATTACATTATTTTAAATAGCCAAAAATGGATAACTCACATTTAAAAAGAAGGACCATGTTTATGGTTGATTACTTAGGCTACATGCCACATTGCATCTTAAACACAAGAAATGCATGCTCTGGGAGGCAGAATGGGTCATTTTGGGTGTCATTTTTGTATTTGTTTGTGTGATGAGTAAAAGTGACTGTACTTACCGAATAATGTGGATTATGTTCTTCATCTGAAAACTTTGAGTCATCAGCATCATCAACATCATCAGTATCATCAACATCATCAGTATCATCCTCATCCATGTTTTCAAAGTCTGACTCTCCCTGAGCAATTGGCACATTTAGACTGAAGCCTCCATCCACAATTAATCCAGAAGGCCCGCATTCAACCAAACAATTAGGTATCCCATCAGCCATTTTGAAATGTTGACTGGAGTCAAAGTGGTTAATTTCAATTCCCTCAGTTTTAGGGTCCTCGTCTTCATTCGGACCATCCTCATTGTCCTTGGGCTTTTTATTGATAATCTGCAGGATGGATCGAACGAGGAACGCTTTGAACCAGTCAATGCCTCGTGTGATCCTGCCAATGGCGATCTGGAGATTGTTCATCTCTCCGTCTTCGTCTGTTGAGAGATTGTCTCCGCTGAATGAGCTGAGCAGTAAGGCCAGGAAGAGGTTCAGCACCTGAAGAAAGAAACATGAAGGTAATGATAAATACACTCAATGTAAATGTATAACAGCATTGTAAAATAACACAATATCATCAATTTCCTAGTGTAGCTTTGTGTGAAAAACTAAATAATTGCACAGCAAGAGATGCACACCATCTGTAGGAAGCTACATGAAATATCTATATATTTGTATTTTATATCTGTGATTAACAGATAAATCATTATTGAGAGTGAGTGAATCCCAACTGGAGAATTGTATAATTGCACAGTCAAAGTATGCCTACTACGGCTTCAAATAAGTACTAATTTTATCATAGATTATTTGGCAATTAATTTAATAATTATGTCTGTAGAGGACAGCAAATCATTTTTAAATAAAAAAACTCCTGGTCAACCGTTCTGTCTTTAAATGTTTGTTTTTTGTCAGTCCCCAGTCCCAAACACCAAAATATTTTTCTTTGATATGAAATAAAACTGAGAAAAGAAAAGTCCGGAATAAATCAGATTCACATGTTAAATTTCCCCTGTGATGGCACAATAATGAATATTATGTCATCTGCCTCCTGTTGCAGACGCAGCTATCTTTAGTGACTAAACCTGTTAGTAATTTTCTCGGTTCCTATGTCCCAGGTTTAGCAGGGGATCACGATTACATGGCAGGCTGATTTCCATCATTCCAGTGAGGGAGCTGTGAATCAGTAAAGAGGGCTGGAGGAAAAGATGAGCTGCTCAAAACACAAGCCCGACGGAGGAGTGGAAAAATGCAACAGAGCTTTCCAGTATAAGTGAACATTCTAAGACGATTTACAATAACGTTTAGTTTACCCATATTGTGTTCTTGTAACTGATGACATTGTTTTTCATCTTAGCATTAGAGCTAAACAGTACGAAGCGGCTAGCCTGTGCAAATGTAAAAATAAATCTGCCTACCAATGCCTTTAATTAACATGCACTTATTTGTTTAATCTGTAGGCTACTCAGAAGTGAGCCTCAGTGCTTCTCAAAGTGTGGTCCGCGGACCACTGGTGGTCCGTGAGCGCCCCCTAGTGGTCCGTGAGTATATTGGTAAAATTTCACATTTTTAATTAATGAATTAATTTAAGTTTTCCGCACTCTCGCGGGAATATCTCCGCAATGGAGCGAGCTTAAGTTTCACTTTCGATTGCATGATATAACCCAGATAAACACCGTCATCACACATGTTGCCACTTGTTTGTACAATTTTCAGGCGATTTGTAAAAAACGATGTGTTTTTGGATATTTGTGGAGTTAGTTGGTCCGCGAGTGTTTTTTTATTGGTTAAGTGGTCCTTGGTATGAAAAAGTTTGAGAAACACTGCTCTAAAGTAAGCTTTACATGTTCTCAAGATAGCTTTTCCCCCCGTTTAAATGTGTAACGCTAAGCTAAGCTAACTGGCTAGTGGATGTAGCTTTTCATCCAAGCGTCAGTATCGTTCAAAAAAAGTCTTACACACAACATACTATTAGGGTGCATTCACACCTAATAGTCCGTTTTCTGGTGCGCACCAGAGCACAGTTTGTTACATTGTTTCATCTTTCACACGGGCAAAACTCAAACAGACTATAAACTTTAAGAGGTCTCGGACTGTGTTCACACCGACCCAAATGAACCGCACCAACCGGCTAAACGCACCAGCCTGGGTTCGATTCAACCGGCCTATACAAGGCAGGTGTGAACGTACCTAACTAAGAGCTTTTAGAAAGAATCCCGCATGCTTATTTATAATCATTTTCATCTGAGCCCTTAAAATAACATCTAGCCTACAAATTGTAAAAAAAAAAGTAGTAGTAGTTTTCTTTGTGCTAAGGCAAAAACGTGGATGTGAAAAGTCAAAGATTGCAGAATAGCTAGTGGGAATTCAGGGGCATTTTACACATAAAGATAAAACGTATACAGTAATATCCACTCCATGCGCAGTTGTGCTGATGGCCCAATATTATTATCTCTTCATCATTTACGCTTTAATCTTCTATCAAATCACTTTTCCTTAACACCAAGTCCCCCTGCCACATGAGCTCTGCTCGCTCAGCTGTCTAGTATGTTTGTTCCCTTTAGTGGCAGCATGCTTCCTTGAGCCGGATCTTAGCACATACTCAAGGTCAAAGCCACTGTTTGGTGGCTCGAGTCATTTGATTCAAATAGAAAGCCCCCTCTCCCTTGAAGAAGTGTATCTTTACGTCAGTGCAGATATTGTGCATCACAAAAAAGCTTTGACAATGTTGGCACGGTGTGGCCATTGCAATACTCTTGTCAGAGTGACGATGGGCCACTTCCTTTCCATTTCTATGAATAACCTAACCGGAAATAGTTTCAGCTCTAGTCATTAAATACGATGTTGAAATCATGACAGAGAGTGATCATCATGTTTTATCCATCCCATATTCTTCTTCTGTGAGGCCTGATAAAAGCTCCAAACTTTCAGGACTCTTCTTAAAGCACCCAAAAGTTCACCAAGGCAGTGTGTGAAATAATGCATAGGGATGTTTGAATATTACAATCTGTGAATATGGTATATTTTAATATTTCAGATAGTACAATGCCCCCTTGTGGATACAATGTTCCTCCCCAGCTGTGTGTGTGTCTATCCTTGGCCTCCCTCTGCTGAGGGTTAACAATAGATTGTCGAGATATGCAGACAATCTCCTAGCATTATATTAAGATAACTGTTAGATTTAGAAAGATTTGACAAAATAGTTTGTAAGCTTTACAGCTTCACAGTAGTAACAGTTGCAAGTTGAGTGGCGGCATGTGTGAGTTTGGTAATGATCTTCTTGAGATTCACTGCATGCTGATGTAAGCACTGACTATAAAGACACTGACAACCCAGTCATAATGACACTGAGAAACATTTTTATTTTAAATCTAAATGTTGTTGAGCTGAGTAACGGTCTTCATTGTTTCCTTTCAAACCAATCAGCATAAAGGGGTATTTTATCAAAAATGTCTCCCTCAGATTCAAGATGGGGATGAATAACTCACCACTAGATTTCCAATGACCATGACCATCATGAAGACGACTAAACACATCCCAGTTCCGGCCACCTCCATGCAGTCCCACATGGTCTCGATCCACTCCCCGCACAGGATGCGGAACACGATGAGGAATGAGTGGAAGAAGTCGTTCATGTGCCAGCGTGGCAGCTCGCACTCTGTGGAGATCTTGCACACACATTCCTTGTAGTTTTTGCCAAAGAGCTGCATACCCACCACGGCAAAGATGAAGACGATGATGGCCAGCACCAAAGTCAGATTTCCTAAAGCTCCCACTGAGTTACCAATAATCTTGATCAGCATGTTGAGGGTGGGCCAGGACTTTGCTAGTTTGAAGACACGAAGCTATCTCAAACACAGGACAGACACAATAAAAGACAGTGAATACAAATGTAGGAAGTAATCTCATTGTGGTAAATGGATACAAATGGATTCAATAATTGGGTAAATGTACATTTGTCTTAGTCGGAAAATGCTACATAATTGGGAATATCCAAACAAATAAATGCAGTTAATATAGTCATATTTCGAACAATAGTAAACTAATAATGTGCATATCAACGTAATTGTTTTTTCTCACCAGACGGAAGGACCTGAGGACAGACAGACCTTGGACATTCGCAAGCCCTAACTCCACCAGACTAAAAGTGACGATGATGCTGTCAAAAATATTCCAGCCAACTTGAAAGTAGTAGTAAGGATCCATGGCGATGAGCTTGAAGAACATCTCCGCTGTGAAGATCCCAGTGAAAACCTATAGGGGCATAGAGTTCAGTTTAAATTCAAGCCTGAGATGTATGAATATGTTTGGGATGAAATTTAAATGTAATGTGGAAGAAATTCACCAGATTCCCCACTGAGAGCATGTGGTCAAACTGTGGGGTCATAGGGTAGTGCTCCATGGCCATGAAGAGGGTGTTGAGCACAATGCAGATGGTAATGCCCAAGTCAACAAAAGGGTCCATCACAATAAAGAGAACCCATTTTTTCATAAGAATCCATCGCGGGGAGCAGTCCCACTTCAGGAAAGTGTCTGCAAACTTGTACCAGCCGGGTGGGCACGGCCTCTGAGCCTCCTCCAACTCTAGACAAAGAAAAACAATTAGGTGGTCTACAGTCATTCTATCAATACAGCTAACAGTGAGCAATGAGTGGCATTGACATTCATATGTGTGCCAAGTTATAGTCTGACTGAAATAGCCAAAGCTTAACACCGTGAGGGCGTGACACTAATATTGACAGGGATTTCGTCAGTGCACAATGTGATTATGGCAAGCTTTAACAATGCTACTGTATTTGCCTTGAGTAAAATGTGTGCACAATGTCAACAACTGTTTGATAATCTGAGTGATTGGAGCTCACATTAGAGCAGTGTTTCTCAAACTTTTTCATACCAAGGACCACTTAACCAATAAAAAAACACTCGCGGACCACCTAACTCCACAAATATCCAAAAACACATCGTTTTTTACAAATCGCTTGAAAATTGTACAAACAAGTGGCAACATGTGTGATGAAGGTGTTTATCTGGGTTATATTATGCAATCGAAAGTGAAACTTAAGCTCGCTCCATTGCGGAGATATTCCCGCGAGAGTGCGGAAAACTTAAATTAATTAATTAATTAAAAATGTGAAATGTTACCAATATACTCACGGACCACTAGGGGGCGCTCACGGACCACCAGTGGTCCGCGGACCACACTTTGAGAAGCACTGCATTAGAGCACATGTGTCAAACTCAAGGCCCAGGGGCCAAATCAGGCCCTTGGTGGATTTAATTTCGGCCCGCGGGATAATTTTTAATTACTATTAGATCTGGCCCGACGCACACCTTCACTCAATCCTGAGGATTTCCTCAGCTCAGAGCCTGACCCCAAACATTGATGAACTTGCACCCAAGATGAGATGCCAAGTATCTGGCTTGAACTAGCATCACAGAGCAGCAAACTGAGTATAAATGGATGTTTCCTTCTGCACTATTTTCTTGCAACAACAGGGCATGTTTGTTTTTTTCTTTGAAGGAAATTGTTTTTTTTAAGCTGTTGTTGGCCTGTGGAAAAATGTAATCATAAGAAATGACTCCGGAAAAGCTGCAGATAGAGCCATAAGAAATGAATGCAACTGATTATTTAATGTTTAATGTTGTTTTTATAGGCAATAATTTAAGCTTTGTTAGTTCCAGGTTTAATATGTGCAATAAGTTCATTTCAATACAGTTTGCAATAAACATTGAACCAGTCCGGCCCTCGACTAGTACCGATTTTTTTTAATTTTGGCCCACTGTGTATTTGAGTTTGACACCCCTGCATTAGAGCATCCCCTCTAAGAACCAGACACTAAGCCTTGTAAAGCCTTCATTGATTCCCGGAGGAACTTGACACCTCAATATGCTTACACCTTGTCAATGCATTGCTGTTGTGTTCTACTACTTGTTTTGGTTTGTTGAAAGCTACATCTAAGGGCATCTTATGACAATTGTCGTTGCATGTTCAGTGTTAAAGGTGTCACATCATGAACATTCACTTTTTTAGTGCTTGTGCTCATCGATTTGGATATCTGGGGTGCCTACAAACCCACACTGTTAAATTAGCAAGTTAAGTCAGTTTTCAGTAGATTAGATCAGAAAACATTGGGTTCAACACGCAAATCAAATGTGGCTCCCTTTTCTATATAACCCGCAGGCTCATTAGAATATACTCCCACCCATCTGAGTATCTCCCAGTAGTGAACCGTCAGGGCCTTCAAGGTATTCAGAGAATACCCTGAAACACTCAAACAAAAAAATCGATTTAATTATATAATAAACATTTTATAAAATGTAAATAAAATGAATAAATGAGAATCGTATCGATGTTGTTGATCTGTAATATTACAGTGTTACGTTGATTTTTTTGTCTTTCTCGGTCCATGCACTACACATTTCAGTGGTTTTGTGTTAGAAAAAAAATGCAACCAATCAGATATTTTTCTATCAAGGTATTCTACATCCTTGATAGAATGCCCTGGCCATTGCACTAAATGAGAGCGTACGTTTGGATTGACAGTTTGATCAACCAATCTATTGATTTGTAGCCAATGGGCGTATTCTTTCAGAGTTTCCCTCAGTTCCAGGGTGCTCTAGAAGGCCCGTTAGTTCACTGGCTCGAGACAGAGGATCTATAAATGCGACGTAGCAATTCATTTGCCGTTTATTGTTTTTAACGTTGAAATGGCAACAGGTGAAGATGATGTTGTTGCGGAATTGTTGTCAGTAGACGACAATTCAGTGAAAAGACGGACATTTTAACGGCGGCGGTGGGCTGTGTGTGTCTACCGAAGGTCCAGTTGTGATAGACACGATTCGTCACTGGTATCTCCACATACAACCTTTTAAAAAAAAATTTCGCAAGCCAATCAGAAAATACTAGTCTCTTTTGGAGGGAAAATCACTAAAACAAAGCGTTTGATACATAGGGTGACTAAGTAACGTTCAGACAGACAGTAGGCCTATTGGAAAAGTAATGTGTTTTTTTTAGTATTTAAACATACCAACATGTTCTAGTATAAACCCAAAACACATACATAAACATGAATATTAGTAGGATATGTCCCCTTTAATCTTTATTGGCACTGTACCTTCCATAGCAGCTGCAGTGAGCACACTCAGAGTGCTAGCAGCCCTCTGTGTCAGGCGTGGCTCTTCCAGACGAAGCATGCTGTGATCAGAGCCTAATGACTTCTCTTCGAGCTCATAAACAGAAGCACACTGAAAAATGTTGATGTCAGTTGCAAATCGAAACCATCTTTATACAACTATTTTTTTCTAAATGACTAAAACGGACTTACCTTGACCAAAGTGGGTGCTCGGACCAACAGACGGGGAATGATTCTCCCGCTACAATCCTTGATAATTTCATCATGTTCAAGGATTTGTTCGTCATCTGCCACTTCAGATATGGTGTGATGACTGAGTGACTTCTTACTAGTTAAACTGACTTGGCTTCCTAGACCCATAGCCTGCTAGATGAATAAAGGAATACAGTGTTATTCAATTTCCCTACCAATAATACAACACTTTTATGGTTATTTTTTCTCAATTCTGTATTAAAGAACAAAACTAAATTCCATAACAGTTTACTATAAGTTATCATATCGCAGCACCCACAGTATGCTAATTTAAATACATGGTTGGCTGTTTCCCTTATTGCTTGTAATAGTTACCTCTTCCTGATTCCTGATTTGCTCGAGTAGCCGCTGGAACTCTTCCTCTTTCTCGATGGCCTCTCGCTGAGTTGCCTGATTCTGTTCTTCATAAGCCATGGCTACCACAGCCAGGATGAGGTTGATGAGGTAGAAGGAGCCCAGAAAGATAATCACCACAAAGAACAGCATGTATGTCTTCCCAGCCGCCCGCAGGATCTGTGTTTGGAGCAAAAAAGAAGCTACGAGAACTAAGGACACGTTTCTTTTTATAATTTAAGTAATACAACAATTATAAGTTAAACGGCATTAATGTGTTTGCAACATATGAAAAAAGTGCCAACCAGCTGGAAAAGGTTCTCCCAGTAGTCCTGGGTCATGAGTCTGAAGAGGGCCAGGAAGGCCCAGCCAAACGAGTCAAAACTGGTGTAGCCATAGTTAGGGTTCCGCCCAGCTTTCATGCATGTGTATCCTTCTGGGCACTTTCTATCAACAAAGAAGAAGAGTCAGTCTGCTAAAATGGCTGCATTCCAATCGTCTCATTTGTTTAAGAGGTTCCTAACCAAGTGAAATGTCCCAGATGTATCTCATCTGCAGAAATCACACTCGACGATCATTACCAGACAACGTGATCATGGTGTATGTGTGTTTAATACATACCCAGCATCTGAGCTGTTTCCACAAAGTAGAGCATCTAGGCTGCCTTCCAAATAATACTGATTATCTAAAAGCATACAAGAAAAAGAAGAAGTGAGGACACAATAAACTTAAATAAGAGACATCTAGTAATATGGCTTTAGCATACCTGTGTTTTCAATGTACTCATTAAAGTTGAAGGTGCTGTTGTAATATGATGTATTGTTGACGCCCACGGTGTTATTGAAGAACATGGTGTCATTAAATTGAGCAGTGGTGTTAAAAAAATCATATGCAGTTTCATTTGTTTCGATGGGCCATCGCACACATTTCTGACGCAGATTTCCCATAAAGAGTTGAAGGCCAATGAGGGCAAAAACAGCAAGGGCAAAGACTGTCAGAATCATGACGTCCACCATTTTCTTCACTGACTGGATCAAAGCGGCCACAATGGTTTTCAAACCTGACAAAATAGAATCAACATGTGGTTTGCACGTCTCTTAAAGTCAGACAGCAAGGGTTATACATTCATAAATGATTAGAAATACTATTAGATACAGCAAGGCATTTTAATGTATCCAATTTAGGATTGCATTCATTAAAACTTGGAAAACATGACATTTTATGTGAAGCAAAATCAATCACTGTACTGTTTGCTTTGTGAAATTACACAAACACACTGAAACACATACAAAAATGTAAGGTAAAATAGAATAGTAAAAAAATACCAGGAATCACAGTAATTGTTTTAAGGGCTCGAAGTACACGAAATGTCCTGAGTGCGGACACGTTGCCGAGGTCAACAAACTCAGTGACATATCTGTGGAAAAACATAAAACAATTAATTTAATTCAAGGAAAGAATTATCTTTCATTTTATGCACTATGTGAGGAATATGCAATAAGATAATTTTGCTGATATCAAAAGCAACTACACCATTAATTAACTACACCATTAGCAAGTACACTTACGCCATGCTGATCACCATGAAATCCAGCCAATTCCATGGATCTCGAAGGAATGTAAAAGATCCAGCACAGAAACCTCTTCCCAACACTTTGATTGTTGCCTCAAAGGTATAGATTCCAGTAAAAACATACCTAAGAAGGAACACAGGCTAGTATAGAGAGAAATAACATAACACAGGAATGCTACAGAAATGAAGTACTTACTCAACAGTTTTACTCCATGCTGGTGGGTTGCTCAACGTCATGAATGCACAATTCAATACAATCGTAAGCATGATGAACATGCTAAATAATTTAATTCAGGGTTAAGGAAACAAACATGGACAATATGAATAAAAGTAGCCTTTTATTTATGGCTAAACATCACTTTATTTCTCATTCAAAATGTAAAACACTATATGGTAAAAAAGCTCAAGCATCAATAGTTCAAAGGATATGAATGTATGAGAATTTTGATGGCTCCTCTTCTAACCAAACTAAAGGGGCTCAGAATGTAGCAAGCCGGCTCAGCGTTGAACCTGTAGATTGTGTTTCCTTTGGTGATCACAATGAATGTCTGAAACACAGAGATTATATCTATCTGTATAAATGCAGAGTCTAAAAGTCCCTCCTACATTTCGCTAAATACTTAGTGATGACAATCTTGGAATGATACTACTTGAAACATTTAACTGTAACATTTGCATACCGCGGATGAAACGGTGTACATTGCGTAAGGGATACTTTATGCAGCTAAAATGTATGTTAAGTAATACATCCTGTCGTATTTCAAGGTTAAGTAGGGACGGAGTCAAGCTCATTAAACACTAAGTGTGTGTTTCATTGCCATGTGTGCCCCAGATGTGCCTCGACTGACTGCGTTTTGTGCTTTGTAGAAGGGGTCCAGGTCCTCCAGAGGTGTGTTGAGCAGCTCTGATGGAGGGTCTCCGAAGATCATGGGCAGACTCTTGCCTGCCTCCAGATCAGCGTTTGGGGCCGTTGGCTCTTCCTCATCATGGCCTTCTACATCAGCCTTTTGTCTTTCCTCCTTGAGCCTCTCGGCCTCCGCCAGCAATTCCCGGGTAAAGGGGCGGAACGCATTGGTGCCTCGGGGAGGGAGCAGGGGCGCCATCTTCGCATCGCGAAGGAACACCACCACACCGGGGTTTCCCTAAAAGGAGCTGGAGGAAGAACAAGAAGTAGATACAGAGAATATATTTTCAGATGGAATGTATTGAAAGACGAGACAAAGCAAGCCATACCCTAACCATTTTAAATTAAACCATAAACATTTTGATTTGCATAATTTTAAAAGCAAGTGTATACAGTATATGGTGTATATGTATATATTTTTTTTAACACTCCAAATGTATAATTGATCGTAAATTTAAAAAAGAAAATTGCTGGTGTTATTTATGTATTTTTTGACAATGATATGCTTTTATCAAGACAAATGACATTAGAGACATAACATGAAATGAGAGGAGGGAGACAGATGAGGAATAACATTCAGCAAAGATCACCTTAACTGCTAGGCCACCATGGCAAAGCATGTTTGGTATATTTACTTGGTAAATTATCTGAAAAAAAGATCATTCCCTAATCCCTTGAGCACATGTTGCAGAAGTGAATGCCTAAAGCAGCTGTTCCTAAATGGGTCCCAAGAAAAATCTGACAGGGTCATATTTATATTAATGAAAAAGTGTTGCCTGTTCTTGTGACAATTGTTTAAATAAAGCAATCTTTGCTAGAAATGTTACAATCATGTCTTATAATGGGCTCACATGTATACACCTTCGTTAAAGGGTTGAAAAGCCAAAAAGGTTGGGAACCACTGAACTACAAGGTTAGGTTTCCACGTGTGTCTTTGATCTTTGTCCATACCCCTTAACCTCTGCCCTACATCTCTGACCCTGCACCCCTCACTTCACCACAAGCACTTCAAAGTGTCGGGATGGTAACACAATGACTGAACGCTCTTGGGAAGACATTTTGGAGTGCAACCACTCTGGTTTCATCTGGAGCAGTTTAGGATAGGCTGCTGCTCGCATGGACATAATAGGGGAGTAAATAACCCCTTTTATATAAGCTATTTTACTTTAGATGGATGGATCTCAATGTAAAACAAAAGTACAACTAGTTATGTTATCACTGTTTACTATTGTATACTTTCAGAACCACTTAACCTGAAGGGGATATTATATTAATCAATAACTACAAACTGTGTGTGCAGATGCTGAATAAAGCAAGTTGAGAGGGAAGTATATTTGCCAGGGAGAAACAAAATCAGTAGCATTTAGCAATTTTACTCAAAAGTTGAATTAATTGCAAATTAGCTTTGACGAACATTTGAACATATTTAAAAGACAAACACCCAGCAAAAAGTTGGCTTTAGGATAACAATACATGGATATAAGGAAAGTTGTTGGACAGTGTTATGCAGCAAAATTCCCTCAGAAACCCAGGTCAATCACAATTATCCATCAAAGCTATCACATTTCCGATAAATAAGTCAACCACTTGCTATAAAGTGTATTTAACAGTTATATATATGAAAATAATCAATGTATGGTCTACATTTAAAGTGGCAGAGGCAACAGAAAATCCATACATAGATTAAATCACTCAAACCTTCAAAACCAAGCTGGTAACAGGCTGTGCAAAGAGAAGAGACATGATAAAAACAACATTGTAACCAGAGATAGACAAAGTGATAGCCACTGATCAAACACATTAATGTAACCCCCTCTAACTGCCTCACTCCAACAGAAAATTATGCATTTGCACATGTGAGAAGACGCGCAACGCTCCAGAGATACGGTGGCTGCCCAGCTGCTCCGGGCAATCAAGACTGAGCGTCGTGTTACAGAGGCCCGATGACTCTGCTCATTCCTTCCTGGCTGAGCCTTCGCTCTGCGCCTCACATCCCTCCGATAAACAGGACAGCATGCCAACTTATCTTACCGAGCTGACTCCTCTCCCCGCTACCTTCTATTTTACACAGGGGCCCCAAACACACTAAGCTTCCGCCTTCGCACCCCTTATCCACAACCCCCACACCACCTCGCTATATGACACTTGAGTCTCTAATTCTCTCTTTCATACAACGCAAGAGTTAATTTCATCTTAACTCGATCACTCATCAGAGCACCATCCTTAATCAATCACAAACACAACTGAGAGGGTCTCTTTTCTCCTTTAGCACTTCATGGGTCAGTTTATTCTACCAAAAACTTTCAGATTGTTTATTATTATTATTAGATGGGCTACCAACACCTGCGTACTGCTCGCTACCAAGCCCTAGTTTCCCCCCTCATCATCCCGTTTAATATCCTCCATTCTAGGAGTGATGGGCCCCGCTGCCCTCCACCGTGAGCCAACCTTAAAATACCCAACCTCAGAATGGATGCGTTTCTGCAAGGCTTATGAGGAACATTTCCTGATTGCATTACATCACAGCGTTACTGCTAAAGCCATCAAAGGTGCCTTTTTTAAGAACCCTCAATTGAAATCCTGCCAATCTCAAATAAGTTATCCAAGGAGGAGGTTGTTGCCTTGTGCCCCGTGTCAGTTAGGTAAATAATATGTTTTGGCGCGGCGGTTTGTTGCTACATTAATCAGTGTATGTTTCTTCTCACGAAAGAGCCAAGAGTGCAATATTCAGTATCAGTCAAAATAGATTTTGTGTGTGGTTGAACCAGTACTTGATTCAGTGGTAGATGGATACTTTAATATAAGTTAAAAGGAAAAGTCCTGTAAGATTATATTATTATCAACAAAAAAACTTGGAGTCCAAGTAAAAGTATGACAAAATTAAGAACAATACTTGTAAGTAACAGGATGATGCACTCATAACGCCATCATGGCTACGTATTGGAAGTTAGGGGACCAGCCGCAAAGAGCGGATTGCTGTGGTCGCCATAGCATTATACAAATAATAGTGATATGTACATTTCCAAAGAAACATAAAAAGCCCCAAATCTACTTGGAATATCTACTTGATTTTAAGAGTCTAGCGTAAGACAATCGAATCATTTCATGACCACGCTCCTTGAGTCGCTCTGAGGACAGGTGGCAAACTGAGGAAGAGGGAGTGAATGTAAGATCTCAGAAGCCTTCCCCGACAGTAATATATATATCATCTTGCATGTCAGGGAAGACCATGTGACCTGTGACATTCCGGTTGAGGATATAGACGATGTAATGTAGACACCTCCTCGTTATACTAGCCGGGCGTGGAATGCCAATGCCAATATTCAACTCCGGAAACTAGCCCAACTAGCTTTTGGCTTTTGTCACCAGGGCAGCCAGAGTTCAAATACGACAAAAGAGGACGTTTAGTTCACTCGATTTCAGCATTGCCTGTAATGTGACTTGTGGAAAATGTATTGAACTTGATGATGTTATCTTGTACTAGCCATGTTTTTAACCGAGGGGTCTAGTGGCATCATATTTTAATCAATTTGAATGACTTGTTGGCCTAACTCTGGTGCTCTTAAGAGTTTAAAATCCTGTGACAACTGTCTCAGTCCCCTCACAACGCCCCCTCACCACTCCTGGAATGTGGTGAAGTTGTAAACAACAGATCTACAGAGCAAACAAGGGCTTTTTATCCACACGTCCTTTGACATTTGCCGTGCTCCTGTCCCACTCCGTTTTCTCACGGGGTCAGATCGCAGCACTGTGCATCGCCGTCTCCCTGCTTGCTTCAACACCCTGTCACCCACCAGTTAACCTTGTATTCCAAACTCTATAGGGAGCCACATTAAAAGCAGACCTCTGCACCTGTTCCTCCTTCCTACCTACCGTGTCATTGTATGTGTTGTATTGATCAACATATTCAGAGTCACAGTAACGGTCAATCCTTTGGAGTCTTATGTTGATGTCTTTATAAGATGTGTGCACAGTAGACCTAGTTTACACTACATCCCAACATCAATTATGCTGGTGCTAAGAAGACAGCTGCCATCATTCGCGGTATGCCTCTCTCAATGCATACCAAGGAGCTGTGAAAACCTAGCATAATCTCCTTAGAGCATTTAGATGATCCAATGGCCAACAGCGACATAAAGGCCAACTGATGCATATATGCAAACTTGTATTAAGAGGATTAAGGCCGTCTGATCAATGCCTATCAAATGTTTCATCACAAATGGTCTCCTGGATAATGGCAACATAATAACATGCTGTATCTAATGGAATGTTAGCTATCAGGGGGCTTATACAATTTAGAGCTGCAACAATTAGATGGCTAATCGATTAGTTCATCTAATCTAAAAATATTTTGAAAATGTATTGTTTAAGTAACTTTTTTATTCAAAAATGTCAGAAAAGGCTTTTTTCAGTCTCAACTGTGGCAATGTCCTGCTTTTTTGTATTTTATTATGTAAAAATTGATATCTTTGAGACACAAGACATGTAAAGACACCACATTTGAGACTCATTAGTCATGCTTGGACATTTGTAATAAAATTTATTTCGGACCTCAATAATGGATTAATTGTTTTGAGATTTAAATTTTAATGAAAATAATTGTTACATCACTAAATGATGTAAAGTCTTGGATGCAAACTTAGTAAACTGATTTGTACTGCATGAAACTGACCGGTTAGGGTTAGCCTAACCTAACTGACTTTGGCCGTTGCTCTCGCCTTTTAGAAATTAGAGTTGATTGCATGTAGAAATGATATGGACCAGAGGGAGCTATTATCATCAAGTCAACGCCAATCAAGTCTTTAAAGAAACACATGAATCCATAAAGCAACCGCTGAGGTTTGAAACACGTGGTTAAACAAAATGTCATCAAAAGAACATTACAGTCAAATAATATTCACATACAAGAAAAAAATGCAACTGCATGTCGAACACAATTGCACTGAACAGGGGAAGTGAACAAATAAAAAAGGTTGCTTATCTTAACCCTATGTCACCTTTGAATACACTGGAAATATAGAGGCCTGGCCAAGCAGTCACATGGGTTCACTTGGTGAAAGAAACTCAAAACCGACACCTTCTGTGTCCAAGAACATGTGATGCGAGACGCACAAACACACTCACAAAGGGGAAAACCACGGATACATCTTCTCAGTTATGCACATTGAAAGCTGAAATTAGTACTTTATACCATCCGCCACATTTGTGATGACAAAGGTAAAGTTGTCAGTGGAGAATGCATAATAATAACCAAGATAAATAATGCAATATGCACAAAAAACTCGGTCTAAGAAATGAAAAACACCACCTGATGATTCACTGCTCCCCTGCAGGAGGTCATCCTGTTACATAAGAGCTGACAGGATCTAATATGAACACCATGTCTTCCACTGTAGTTTAAGATCTGAATGGAGTCAGGCTGTCTCTGTAGTCCCACACCTCTGATTGGCAACATGGATTAACGGCAGAGAAATTGTGAGGTATGAGCATCCACAGCATCACAGTATATTGCCCTTCTGCCATGAAGACATGAGCTAAAAATAAAATGCTGTCCCTATGGGAGGAGGCATAGTGGGGATTGAGAAGGTTGCAAAGTGTCCACACTGGACATGTGGACTCCAGAAACCTATTCACCTGGCAGGTGAAGAAAGCCTGGCTTTTGATGCTCATGCACAGATTCCCCCCTCAAAAAGGTGCATACTGTACATACATTATTTTGCTACAGATTTGCAATTAGAGTAGTAAAACATTGGTGCAACACTACATGTGGTGCATTTTCACAACACAAACACCCACATGTTTGCTCACAAACAAACACACACACACAGTTAAAACCCCAGCTGAGAAGCCATAAATCTACCAATTCCAAATTTGACCTGAGCTCAATTACAGGTCCGTGTTTATTATTAGAACAAAGGCACTCATATTAAAACACCTCTTTGCGTTTTTATTTCCTAGGCAGTGCAGCCTGTTATTTTCAGCACCAATGAACAAAAATACCAAGCTTAATTTACAAGTTTCACAGACACATTTTTGGTCAGGCAAAGTCAAGCTACTAGACAGAAAAACTGCAAGAGTTTCAACACAGTGCAAATGAGAAAGAGGAGAATGTACATTATTACACCAAATAGCCAAAATCTTAAAAGCCAGAAATGTGCTAAATTCATCCACAGAGAGGGGAGCAAGAGGAAAACTCACAACGTGAAGACATAAAGTAGCAAAAACACGTAGGCCTAAATCATCAAGTCAAAGCAAAACCTTGCACACTGCAGGCTGACAGGAAACTTTTATTTCCTTCAGGACTCATCTTTACGCTCACAAAAGACAGCAGAGACGCCATGAAACCGGTTACCTTGCACTGTAAAGCAAATATTTCCACAGAATCCAAGCAATTTAGAAGGGAAAAAAATCACGTCTTCCGTGAAGCCTTCCACTGGGGACGTAATTCTCCCTTCTGTCAGCCAGTGCGCTGCTGCAGGACAGCTGTTGCTGACGCAGTGGTGTCCTGCAGTGAAACCGGAGCAGTCGCTGCAGGTAGGATCAGTTCAGACCTTTGACACTTCGGAAGCACAGCCACTTCCCAGTTCCCACACAGCTGGCACGCATTTCCGCCGGACAGGTGCTTTTATTACTTTTACGCAAATATAGCCTACAGTGTTTGCGCAGTGCTTCAACTTCAGGTTACCATAAACGGTTTTATTTGACCTAGCCGCCTGCGATCTGCTTTAAAAAGGAATTATTTACAAAGATTAATAAATATATTAAATATGATATTGTCATGATAAATGTTTTTAGTACATGAACTCACATACTAAGTAATGTATTTTAAAGTGAACCGGTAGGCTTATTATGTGTTTAATAATATGTAGTTTGTAAACTATAGCCTTGTTATTACAAACGTGTAAAGCTTCTAGCACATGCATACTGATAAGTCAAGTATTTAGATGTCTGTGTTTCACTTCATGTTTGTCGTATTTTGCAATGTGTGCAATTGAAAACACATAGTCTTTTCGTGATCTAGTTTAGCTGGTTTGATATCTGAGGATTAATGCATTTAGTGTTTTATTTTTATTTATAATTTTGTCAGAAAAAAGTTGAAGAATGCGAGTTTATGGATGACAACTTTTAAAGAATAAACACAAAGAAGCTTTACATCCCAGACACCAGAATAAAATGAAAATATAAATTAAGGAATGATAATTATGGGGATGAAAATCACAACAAAAGCCTTTCTTTCTGTCAGGGCATCAAACATGATTGAAAGTGGATGTGTTTGTAATTCTTTCTAACCAGGATAAGGCCAGGATAATGGCTTTATAAGTACCAAATTCCTTTTATGCAAACATATGTAGACCTGAAACCTATAGCTCTTGATCTGCTTGTTAGAAGAATACAATAATATTTAAAAAGAGATACAAAAAGTTCTGTTCCATATTCAGGGCAAATTAGTGTGCCACAGAAACTGTTCAAGGACCATGCAAATGAGAGAAACAACTATGTTTGGGTTAAGCTGTCAAAAAGAAAAATACGCAGATTTCATATGAAATTTGATCAAATATCCTGTGCCGTGAGAGGAACAAGACTGCCCACAGTGAATCTTCCCGTCAACACGCAGGCTATATTTGGCTGAAAGGTGTGCAGTATGATTATACAAGGAAAATGATATCTGTGATTACTTATGTTAACTGGGTGTTATCTGATTCATGGAAATTGAGACTGCAGCACATTTTCCCACCCTCTCCTCTCTCGTGTGAGAAAACTGTAAAATCACATTAAATATTGAAGAAATCTGGCCGTGGCTTTGTCAATGTATCAATGATTTGTTGGATTTGAGTGCAGATCTTAATATGTAGAATATGAAGTGTATGTTATCTTTACAGTGTTCATACCACAAATTGGCCACATTATTTAGAAGATATAATTACTTTGAAAAACAAGACACAACATTTAACCTTACATAAGTGACATTATAAAAATGTATGAAAATGTAATAGAATCAAGTTACTAGTCCTTTCAAACCCTTAACTGTTTTGTCTCTCCATGAAAACTTGAAGAAGATAGAAGATTATTTACAATTTAGATTTAACCCTATCCACACAATAATGTCTTCAGGTCTGCTTTATATTAGATCAAGATTATTGTATAGATGTTTTAAATGTCTATCCTCGCTTTGTTTGGGACTACTTTTATCTCAATACCATTTAAGTAATTAAATGTATTTTTTATGTCTATCAATTGGGGGAAATTGAGATTAAGTTGTTTATCTGTCTTGTCTATAAGGGATGTCGACTTTTTGTAATATGACCCCCATTTATCTTGATGTTTTGGCTTTGTGACTACGAAAAACTTGAGTTGGTCTTCAGTAAGGGAGACTTTTTCATATTGTAATTTGCACAATAGTTCTTAGAAAACAAAGCTTGGAAATAATTGTAAAAGTTGTAATATTAGCAGTAGCAATAGTGGTAGGCTACTAGTCGTACTATTAACGGTAGTAGGAACTAATTAAAAAAGGATTGAGGGGAGCATTACTGGTGTGACACCGTTACCATGGAGACACAACAGCTACATCCGGACGCTCCGTGAAAAAGGTTTGTTTTGGCGATGTGGTTATTAGTTTCGCTGCTAAATTAGTGAAATTAGTTGTCACAACATGACTACGATACAAAAACACATTAAAATACAATTACTAATTCTACTGCTGAATATTACGTCTAAAAGAGGAAGTAATACTTAAATTTTCTAGTTATTTTCCTGTTATCTGACGCTAACTGACGATGTAGGTCTGTGTCGCCTCACTTTACGTTGTGTTTCAGGCAGATACTAACATGGACTCTGAGTACATAAAGAGACACCTGGGGAGGTGTCTGGCGGAGGGACTCGCTGAAGTGGCCGAGCAGCGGCCGCCTAACCCCGTCCAGTATCTGGCCCACTGGCTCTACAAGTTCAACTCTAATGCAGAGTATGAGGCTGAGGTGAGCTGCTGTTCCGTTACATGCCGCTAGAGGGAGACATTACACAACATAAGGTGTACACAGTGTGATAGAATATTCTAGGGTGGAGGTTTATGGTATATTGTTGTATTGTCCAATTACATGATCATGTCTGTGTTATTCTAAAATAAAGGATTGCAAAATGAAAATCTGCAAAATGAAGCAACAGGTATCAAAATATTTTAAATTAAAAAGTACAAATTTAACAATAAAAAAGAACAATATAAAAGTGGCAAACGGAAAGCATGCTTGTATCCATCTTCTTTTATTGTTGTGTATTTTATTGTCTGATTTGCCTCATTGAGTAGTTGTATTGTCTGATAAGCTATACTTTTATCATAACCCCAACATATCAGTACTGTAATGTGGGCTCTGATGTGTGCAGATCACATGGAACTGTTAAAAATAGCAAAAACAAATATTGGAATAAAATCCCCAGAGAAGATAAATACAAACATTAATCATAAAACATGTTGCAAATAAATGATGTTCAATGCCCTTACACAGTAGACTAAGCTTTCTAAATAAAGGGGTTAAATTGCACTCCACCTCTGCGAGATCACTAAATGTAATGCAGTCCCTCAAGCTTGTTTAGTTAATAATACACATACCTACACTTAAGCCAAGTTTGTATGAAAGACCCTTTAATGTAATGGACTTTTGATATAGCATTGCTACTTTCACTTTGAAAGATACTTCTTGTTCCATAAGCTCATACTTATATACTACTGAGCAGGAAAGGATAACACCGACTTAGACAGTCTAAGCTCCTTAAGCTGAGTGCTAGGAAGCCTATACTGTAGGTGCTTTGACAACAAACACCAAGTCACCTTTAGTTTAGATTCAGAAAGTGCTACCAGAGTCCTGCATGTGTGGAGATACAGCTGCCTCAGGTCAAGAAATAAAAGGCCACAAGGTCAAACCCTTTACAAACCTTAAAAGGGCACTATAACATGCATGTATCAAAAGTGCAAACAATGTATTGTAGTGTACTTTCACAGACTTTGTTGTTATTTGCAGAAAAAAGACAATTTGCTAGTCCTGGAGCAGGAACGAGCAAAAGCCAGAGAAGAAGCGCTGCACCAGGAGAGGCTGAGGGAGGAGGAGCGAAAAATCAGAGAGGCTGACCAGGAGTCTAGAAAAGTATGTTGAGCGAATAAAGCCCTGGTTTGACCTGGACTCTGAATACAACACATTATTATTATTATTTACCTTTGATCATTTAAAACTCCTTTTGATTTATGTTTCTTGTTCCGTTGGAAGAAGTGAAGTTACTTTGTTTTGTTTAGTCATTTTCTGAAATAGTTTTGTGTGATAACAAGCCTTTGAAAGGTGAGTACTTTCCCTGTTTTCAGAAGGCCATTTTTGAAACCTCAGGCAAAGGTACACTAGGGCACATAGGCATCACTTTAATGCACTCCATTTACAATCCAATTGGAGTGCATGTTTTACTTTACATGGCATTTTGAGCATAATCCTTCAAGAGCAAATCACAACATCAACAGATCTCTGAGAAGGAGGATTCACCCAGAACAGCCACAACCGGAGCTGCTGAGGACAACAAGCCTGTGGCAGAAGAGAAACCAAACACCCCTGTTCCAGAAGACCAGGGGGACACAGACGAACACCAAACCGATGCTCAGGAAAATGTGATTGAATCGGAGGTGATATAAAGAGAAAATCGTTTTTTTTTGGTGGTGGTACCTCTCTGATCTTTTCCAATCACTTCTTTGTTTTGATTTTGGCTTTTGATTAATTTACTTTTCTGAGGTGTTTTCAGTGATGTTTATTATTCTACAAAATGCATGATAATCCTCGTGTGGTGTGCAAAATCCACCAAATGATTCCAAATTGTGTACATGCTGGGCGAAGGTTACAGATAATGAAACCAGTCCACAGTCCCCTGAGATGAAACCTTTGGAGGCCAGTAGTTCGTCCCTTTCGGAGGTCAAAGAGGAGTCTACAGATATCACTGTTGAAAAAAACGAAGTGGAGCCGAGGAGCGATCAAGAAGAAGAGAAACAAGAGGAGGGGCCAAGTGTCAATCAAGTAGAAGAGGAAACCATAAACACAGATCAAATGGAAGTGAAAGAAGATGAGGAGAAGGTGAGATATGACCGAATTAAATAATTCCATTTCAGTACCATGATGTGAAAAAGTAGCTAGTATGAGTTATTTTTTAAACAATTTGAGAGCAGATGGCAAAACATCTGCCTTTGTTTCACTGTGACGCTTAAATGACATGTTATTCTGTCTGAAATTGGCTCTGCAGGTGGTTGATGGAGCTGACACGACTGAATCCGAGCGGACTGAAGCTTTACGCTCGACTCCCAGCCGAGACCCTGATGACTTAGAAACTGACAAACCAGACGAGCTACGAGACAAACGAAGCCCTCGTTCTCCCCGGGACACAGTGAAGGTGATGAAGAATGTGCATGAGAAACATGTAGGTTGCCATGTTTTCAGACTGAGGATGCAAGAGATGCAGGATAAAGAGCGAGGAAAGATAAGGACAGGTGAG